ATTTGTGATCTTTTTTACTTTGGGATATAGGCATTTATGGCAATAAACCTTATTCTCAGGACTGCTTTAGCTGTGTCCCACAGGTTTTGGTAACTTGTGTCTCCTTTGCCATTTAGTTCAAAGAATCTTTTGATTTCCATCTTGATTTCCTTATTTATGAAGTGATTATTCAGCAGAAGGTTGTTTAGTTTCCATGACTTTGTGTAGAAATTAGGACTCCTGTTAGGGTTGATTTCTACTTTTATTCCACTGTGATCTGAAAAGATACATGATATAATTTCTGTTTTTTAAAATTGTTTGAGACATGTTTTCTGTCTTAGAGAATGACCCATGAGCTGATGAGAAGAATGTATATTCAGTGATTTGGGGGTAGAATGTCCTGTAAATGTCAGTCAGGCCCATTTGTTCTAGAGTTCTGTTTAAGTCCATTATTTTTTTATTGGTTTTCTGTTTGGAGGATGTGTCTTGTGCTGTCAGTGGGCTGTTAAAGTCTCTGACTATTATGTTGTTATTGTTTATCCATTTGTTTAGATCCAGTAGAGTTTGCTTTATGAATCTGGGTGCACAAAGGTTGGGTGCATATATATTTAGAATTGTTATGTCTTCTTGTTGAACTGTACCCTTCACCATTATATAGCGACCTTCTTTGTCTTTTGTTACTTTTGTTGATTTAAAAGCTAAGTTATCTGTAATCAGCACTGCCACGCCAGCCTTCTTTTGTCTTCTATTTGCTTGAAATATTGTTCTCCACTCCTTGATCTTTAGTCTAACTGCATCCTTGCAGGTTAGATGTGTTTCCTGAAGGCAGAAGATACTTGGCTTGTGTATTTTTATCCATTCGGCCAGCCTATGTCTCTTGAGTGGGGAGTTGAAGCCATTCACATTTATTGAGATAACTGATAGGTGAGGAAGATTTCTGTTCATTATGTTGGGTTGAACTTTGTTGCTTTGTTTTGTCTCTTGAGCCATTGTGGTATCTGGGCTTTGATCTTTAGCTTTGAGTAGATTTACATTCATGAGTGTTTATTATGCTGATCCATGGGTAACACTGTTTTGAGTACTTCTTGAAGGGCTGGTCTTGTCTTGGTGAATTCCCTCAGTCTTTGCTTATCTGAGAATGTCCTGATTTCTCCTTTATATACAAAACTTAGCTTTTCAGGGAATAAGATTCTAGGCTGGGCATTACTCTATTTCAGAAGAGTGAGAATGGGGCCTCAGACTCTCCTTGCTTGTAAAGTTTCAGTAGAGAAGTCTGGCATTATTTGGATTGGCTTTCCTTTGTATGTTACATGGTTCTTTCATCTTACAGCTTTTAGAAGGGCCTCTTTAGTTGACATTTTGGCCAGTCTGATGACTGCACGTCGTGATGTCTTCCTGTTTGCATTGAATCTCCCAGGGGTCATTTGAGCTTCTTGAACTTGTATCTGGAGATTTTTAGTAAGTCCTGAGAAATTTTCCTCTATTATATCTTCAAATAGCTTGTCCAACCCTTGAGTGTTTTCTTTCTCCCTTTCTGGCAACCCTATGACCCTCACATTAGGTTTCTTCACATAATTCCACATCTCTTGTAGGCTTTGCTCTTTTCTCTTGTTTCTCTGCTCTATCTCTGCGACTGATTTATTTAATTGGATGATGTTATCTTCAGTCTCTGAGATTCTTTCTTCTGTTTGATCTACTCTGTTCTTGAGGCTTTCCACTGTGTTTTATAGTTCCCTGAATTGATTCTTCAGGAGTTCGATTAAACTTTTCTTCATTGTTTCAATTTCTTTAGTGAATATTTGTTCCAGGTCTTGGAATCTTTTTGTGTTTTCTTTGTGTTGGTTATCCAGTTGTTCTTGCAGGTCATTGAATTTTCTTACGATCCACATTCAAAATTCCTCTTCTGTCATTTTAGTGGTCTGATTTTGGTTGGTGTCCATTTCTAAGGGGCTGGTGCTCCTCTTTAGGGGTGTGCTTTCCATTTGGTTCTTCATATTTCCAGAGTTCCTTCACTGATTTCTTTTCATGTCGATCAGTTGTTGCTTCTTGACTTTAGGTTTTTGTTTGGATAGTGACATGTCCTGTTTAGTTTCTGAGCCAGTAGGTGGTATTTGTGGGTGAGATTTGACCACTCCCTGTATGATGAGTTAGTAGGTGCCGTGAATAGGGTGTGCAGAATGTTCTCTCTGTCAGTAGGTGGCGCTTGCTTGGAGAAACAGGCTACACTGTTGTTTTGGGGTTTTGTATCCAGTTCTTGTTCCCCTGGAGGGGCACTCTGGTACCTCAGGTGGTCAGTGGGGCCCTGCGACTTCCAGGTGTGTCCTTATTCTCCACCTCAGTGAGGGCTGGTCTGGGAGTGAGTCTGGGTGGAGCTGGGTTGGATAAGTCTGCCCTCAGGTACCACAAATTCTGTTAGCAGGGGTCAAAGTTTTGTTCTCTGCTTCCGGGAAAAGCTGTCAGGGAGGGGCTGGAATAGCTCCCCTCAGTCAGAAAGTCTGCGTGTGGGGGTGGGGCCATCTGATACCCACAGTCTGGAGTGGGCTTCACTCCTTTCCACTCTCCCCAACTCCACGGCTAATCCTGGGCCTCTGCCAGCAGGCCAGACCTCACGCCATTGGGCCCCTCCTGACTGTGATGCTGGCTGGGAGGTTCCCTGCACAGGATCACCACCTGGGCTGGACACACAGCCCCTCTTTGGGAAGAGGGTTGCTCTCAAGGACGCTGATCTGCCCCTGAAGGCACACACACCTCAGTAGGCTATTCACGGATATCCCTTCTGTGCCCCGGGCAATGCAAGACCTGGGTGCATGGGATCTGGTCTGCAGACCTCTGGGTCCCAGAGTTCAATCCTTGACCCTACCAAGGAGAGGAGTGCTAGTCCTAATTCACCCACAGGGAGCCCAAGCTGGTTTAATGTCTCTCAGCCTCAGGGTCTGCCCCATTCTCCTGGAATCACCAGGCCGGCAGCACCTGGGAGGGCTGGCGGGTAGGGAACTCACCGTCTGATTACCCCTCAGTCAGCTGTAGGGCCCCAAAAGGGAAGGTCCCATTCCCTGGAGGTGCCTCCAGCTGGTGGCTATATTGTCTCTCTTGGCATCCACAGATAGGGAGAGGGGAGGAGAGAGTGGAGCGATATGGCGCCTGCCATGTGGCTCTGGTCTGTGCACATGAAGGTGCCCCAAGGGAGTTGGGAGCCTGGTGCCATGTCCACTACAGGCTTACTGCTCACTGGTGGTGACCATCTCTGGGCTGGTGTCCGCAGGTCTCTCCAGCCGCTGGGGAGCCCTTCAGCAGTCCGAGATACAAGGGAGGGGAAAGTTAACCGCACCACCTACCCTTGCCACTGGTCTCCAGGCTACTTGGGAGGTCTCTGCCTCCAGTTCTTCTCTGCAGCCTCCTCCCATGAAATCTCCTGTGGTCTCAGGTACCCCTCTTTCCAACCCCTATCTGATATATGGTCGTCTGCTAGCTTCTTTCTTTTAATTTCTCCTAGAATCTGTCTTTACTGCAGAGACACTTTGTCTGGTGGTGTTTCTCATCCACCATCTTGCTCCTCCCCCTATCCCTTCCTTTTTAATCTGATGTAGGACATGTCCAGAGGCTTGAGCCACTTCCAAACAGTTAATTATTAAAGGTTTATACATTTTCATACAGACCTGGAAGCAGCCCTTTCCCACTCTCTTTTCCTTCTACTTTCTCCTTAAGAAAAGTTTTGTGAATCAGTCTGTAGCAATAGTTGAACAACTGCTACATGAATTCTGCTAGGTATTCTTAGTTTACAAGGGAAAGAAAATAACCAGAAAAATGTTGGTTCTCTAGGAACTTGTATCAATATGGAACACATGAAAATACATAAATATACCATGGTTTTATAAGTGGGTAGGGTTAAATACGTGAGATTATGAAGAGAGATATATGAAGAACAGAAATTATTGGAATCATTTAGAATAGATATGGAGAATTCTCATGGAAAAGCTATAGAGATGCAGCTAATTGGCTGAGTATGTTCTCTGCAGCACCTTTTATGTATGGGGCAGCTTGGAAGAGTTGGTGGGTTCATAGGAAGGAAACAGGAGAGTTGAGTAGAAGTTAAGTGAAAGACAAGATAGTTGATCAAATTAGTGTGGACCAAAGCCAGGCATGTTGATTAAGCAGTAAATCTTTTCATTTTAACTCTTGTATTATAAAAGTATTATATGCAAATATCTTATTTTCCCAAGCCTTAGGTACTTTTCTTAAGAGTGGAAACCACTATGTTAGATTTCTTTGTTCTCCTTAAGCACTTTACTTCAGTGCTATGTACCTTGTAAGTACTTAGGAAATATTTGTATTAAATAAACATGAAAGATTTTTTGGAAAAGGGTCATGTGATACTTATGCAAAAGATATCTTCCTGTGGCAACAGAAAAAAAAGATCAAATGGTCTTGATGTCTAGATAGCAATGTTTTCATTTTCTATTTCTAAATACAGATCTTGTCTAGGTAAGGTATTTTTAGATAGATCACCAATACTGTTAAGTTAACCACTCAATTATACTCTAGTTGTGTGATAATGATGGGTAAATTTGCATGCAAACATTTTTCTAGAATAGAGAAATGAATCTCCATTCATTGATAAAACAGAACATATTTAAAAAGTGCCTCCCTAGGCACTGAATGTAGGGAGGGGTCCATAGAGGCAGACACACATGGTCCTACAGTTGAGATTATTACAGTCTCAGAGCCAGTGAAGCACTCAGGCAGAGCCCTGCCTGTGACAAATGACCTGCTTGGTGTAAGCACGGGTTCGATGAGGCCACCACGACTTCTGTTCACAGGCCCCCATTTATCCTGGGTGATTGTCAAAGCAAAGGCACTTAGAGAAATGAACACAATCATCTTTTCATCACCATAAGAATGATGCAATTGGAGATAAGCTTCCAAAAACTCCTTCTTAGAGATTCTTTGTACCCTGAAATTAGTATTTTATCAGAGTGATTTTGTGAGAAATCCTGACTGATCATAAAATTATTTCAATGTAGGAAACCATTAGATGTTTACAAGAAACCATCAGGAAAATGTTTTTTCCAGGGAGACCATGGATTTGATAACAAGGTCAACAGCATGCAGGTATGATAACAGAACAGGAAATTGAAATTGTGTTTCAGTGATTCTTAGGATTGGGGAATTGTGGTGTGCATGAAGTAACACAATATTCATAAATAGAGGAAGGGGTGCTACCAAACAACGTTTAATTGCTTTTGTTTGTTTTCTTTCTTTTTGGAAGACTGTTTTTGTAGGTTATGGCCCAACATTTAAGTACAAGACTAAAGTACCTCCATTCGAAAACATTGAACTTTACAATGTTATGTGTGGTAAGTCACGTGTGTAATCAAAACTAGTGAAACAATGTTTAGTTAATATATGAACTTTCTCAATGTCAGAGAAAGAAATGAGGTGTCCATCTTCTGGGACCACCTCTTCTCCCCACATGAAAAATGTTATAACTTGCCCATTGGCTCTAAAGGCAGAATATCAAACTCTTCTAAGGCATCTTTGTCTTCCTTCAACAGTTGGCTAATGGGGAATTTTCATAGTGTTGCTGTTGGCAGACTCTGGCTGATCTAATATAGCATTACAGCTTGACACCATTGGTCGGAGACCTGCTGGAGCAAGAGTTCTACACATAGCCCTCTCCCACCTCCATCTCTTGCATTGCAGCCCAGTTAAAATTTTGCCAGCTTGCATCCTGGCCAGCTATTTATGTGCACCTAATTATTTTTCTTCTTTGAGCTTCTAGTTGCTGAATGAGGACAACTTTTCCTATTTAGTAAGGGAGTGCCAGTCTGGTGGTTAGAGGGGGAGTCTGTAAGTCGAGTCTCCTGGGTTCTTTTCCCATTTTGGCTGCTAGCTCTCCCCTGCCCTGCCTCTGAGCTTAGGCAAGGCACTGTGCGCCCACTTGGCAACCATTCACTTGCTATGAAATCAGCCTGTTCATCTCACAGTGGCACGTCGGGGCACACGGCCAAAGCCTCCTCTGGTCCCCATACTTCTGTGGAGTGACTTAGAGGTCAGACGTGGTTATTCATTGATTGTAAGTCTCATTTCAAAATTTGGGATTAAAAAGTCCCAGAGAAGTGCAGATAGATAGTGATACTGACACTGATAGTCCTTGGGTTGTAACTATCAGAGACATAGGCTAGCTTAGGCCCTGTTCTTTCACTCTTTCTTTTTGAGAATGTCTCTCTCTCTTCATGGTGGAGCAATGAACATGGCTATTTCAGAAAGCTGTGGCAAGACATGGTCAGGCCAGAATGGTTCAGGAAGTAAGAAAGGGGTGCCTGCCAGCTAAATTTGGTTTTATCCAATTCTGATTTATGTTCAGAGTTTTCAGACTCTTAGAAGGTGAAAGGTTTTGATTCTTATCATATCTCATTGAAAAAAAATTTAAGAAGCACCTGCCTCTTTTTCATTCTTTTCACCAGATCTCCTGGGATTGAAACCAGCTCCTAATAATGGGACCCATGGAAGTCTGAATCATCTCCTGCGTACTAATACCTTCAGGCCAACCATGCCAGAGGAAGTTGCCAGACCCAATTATCCAGGGATTATGTACCTTCAGTCTGATTTTGACCTGGGCTGCACCTGTGATGATAAGGTAGAGCCAAAGGTAGAAATAATCTTTGTTTCTCATGGAAGACCTTGGTGGGTGTGTAACAGGACTGTGCAGTAGAACTTTCTGTGATGGTGGAAATGGTCGATAGTTGTTCTGTCCAAAATGGTAGCCACTGGCTTGTGTGACTGAGGAATTAAAATTTTAATTTTAATTACTTTAAATGTAAAGAGCCATATGTGGCTTGTGGTTACCATATTGGACAGCTCAGGTATAGAAAAGGAAGGGCAAAAAGTAGAATTCACGATGATATTCTGTGGAGTCACAATTCCTGACCAAAAACCTTTTCTGTTGTTTCAACCATGGATCATATGTCTATCAGTCATGGTCTCAACAGGAAACAGGTGAGCCATGCAGAAAGAGTTTAAAGAAATTGTTAAAGAGTTTAAAGAAATTGTTCCAGTCATGCTTAATGAGAGTACTATTTACAAAGGCTGGAAAGGGTGAATGGAAGTCAGTAAGGAATGATGAAGTGCCCTGGCGTTAGCAGGGTACCCTCCAAGGCCTATAGGGTGAGGGGAGGGAGCAAGTTGCCAGAGCATGGAAAGAGAACTAAGGAGGAAGGAACTATTGCATTCGGTAGATGAGTGCGGCTCATATACCACAACCCAGCAGGAAAAGAGCTGGAAGAGCTATCCCTCCTCTCTCCTCTCTACTTCCTTTCAGATATCACTCATTGGTAGAGCCCAACAGGAAGCCACAGAGAAAGTTTACTCATGGATGTGGTCCCTAGAGGTCAGCCTCTAAGGACACAAAGCGGGGTAGAGAAGGATCCAACATGGTTGTGGTGTTGGTCCTGTACACCATGTTTGGACAGTTTTTGAATACCAAATAAACTATAAGTATTAAGCAATAATTTACTTATTGAATTTTATTTTGATAAAATACCTTTATAGTTGCCAACCAGTGTTTCTATAGCAGGAATTAACTAGAATTAACACACTGAGTTGATGTGATGCCAGCCCAACACAAGGAAATATGATATTTTTTGCATGTGTGGTTTTATTATAGGTAAATGTGTGATTTTTCTATTAGGACTCAGAAAAATGGAACATCATTCTCCTACTGCCTTATCTCCTTCCTCTACAATTTGTTACCTTCCAGAATTCCTAGGGGCCTAGGAGCCACATTTGGGAGGCTTGCCACTGGAGGAATTCAGATTGCTCTTCTTCCCTATTCCCCTATTTTTTTCTCCTTCTTACTTTTGCTCCTGACAAGAACTAAAGAGGCTAATTACTGTAGGGCAGGTAATGCTCAGACCTTAGCTGGAGGAGTTGAGTTGCCAAAGTCAATAGGGAAGTAGATCCCAAATATAATTTTACAGAAATCCATTTATTGTACTGTATCTTGTTTTCTGAATTACCTTTCTTCAGAAGAATAAGAAATTTTTTGGATATCTGGTCTTAAACCATTTTAGAGAAATTCTGGATTGTCTTTATTTTGTCTATGGGTTTCTCCAAAAGACTTCCTTCCTTTTATTAAAAAAATTCCAGACATACTGAAAAGGTATAGAGATTAATAAAAATGAATACCTTGGTACATACATCATAAGAAAGAAAACATTACAGATTCAGTGGAAGCTTCCTGTATTCAACTCCATCCTATTTGCTTTCTACCCAGAGGTAACTAGTACCCTAAATATAGTGTGCATAATTCTCATGCATGTCTCTGTACTTTTATACTCCATATGTATGTATCCCTTAAATAACATATTAAGTAACCTTTAATTTGGTTTCCTAAATAGCCTATAGTGTAGTTTTTCATATTATAAATTTTTATGTAAATGCTATTATACTATATGTATCCTACAATTATTTTGTTCATTATGTTATTGAAGTTTATGTATATTAATACTAGCAGTTTTAGCTTACTCACTTTTACTGCTAATATAGTAGTGATATTTAATTGTATAAATATACCATAATGATTTTATTCATTTTTCTATTTGAGAACATTGGGTAATTTCCAAATGTTGCACTTACAAAAAATGCTGCAGCAGATGTTATTGCAAGTATCCTCTTGTGTGCATATGCTAGAGAGTCTCTAGGATATATGGTGAAGGGTGGAGTTGCTGAGCCTTTACTTTTCTGAATTGCTGAGTCCTTACTTTTTAGCTTTGGAAAAAGTGATTTCATAAATTGGTTTGAGAATCACTTTAGTGTACCTAAGAATTAGCATGAATTATTGAGGTGCTATTCTAATTATTTACATATATGTGCCCAAATAATCATCATTACCAACATGGTAAGTTGGTTCCACAGTTTTAAGGGAAGGAAACAGAATTATAGAGAGATTAAAGAAGGTGACATAGAACTACTAGCAAGTGGAGCCTATAATGTCGATTTGAGATACAATAGTAATTCCTCAAAAGAAGTTATGCTATTGATAGAGTTTAGGATCCTGTTTTGAATTTATCAGGGTGCTAAGTAGAAAGAAGGGTTCAGGAAAGAATGAGCATTTCTGATTTGCTTTCTTTTTTCCTTTACTGGTTTTCACAAATGAAGAACAAATTGGATGAACTCAACAAACGCCTTCATACAAAAGGGTCTACAGAAGGTAAGGGGTTGATGGAAAAAACAATCAGATAAACTTTTTCTAGTTTTCAAAAATTGAAGAGATTTCTTATTTACTTTATAGTGTAAGCCCAATATTTTTTGAAATTCAAATTTATATTGCAATGTGAATTTTACATCTATCTGGCAAAGGGTATTGGTTTATTCTATGTGTACTAGATACCAGCTGTGTAATAGAAACATTCCATTAGTTTTTATTTTTCCTCAATAGCTTTATAGCCCTCTGAGAAATGGACAATACATTGTGCATGTGTTAGGTCATAAGCTAAGGTGCTATGGGCCCTCTTCTAAAGGGTAGTCACAGTTATAGGTAATAACAGCTGGTACCTATATGAAGCTCACCTTCCTGGAGAGTCCATATGTATACTGTGGTGGGGGGAGATACTCAGAAGGAATCAAATCAGAACTCCGTCTTCACATAAGGGATCATCTTGAGCCCTAACTCTTATTTTATGTACAATGACAACAAGCATGTATTAGTGAACTTTTGCAAGTTTGCAAAAAAAAAAAAAAAAGAATCTCAATGATTGGCATCAAGAGAGATGTATTTCTTGCTCACATTTTAGTATGCTGACTGAAGGCTAAGGAGGCTCTGCCCCATGTATACTCTTTTAAAAAAATTTGTATAAATTTATGGGGTTCAAGTACAACTATTTTACATGTGTAAGTCACATAGTGGTCAAGTCAGGGCTTTCAGGATATCATCACCCAAATTATATACATTGTACCCATTGAATAATTTCTCATACACACTCTCCTCCCACTGCTTATCCTTCCAAGTCTTCTTTGTCTGTCATTCCACTCTCTCATTATTGTGGAATCCAGGCTGAAGAAGGAGCCCCTACTGGGGACATGTCCTGCTCATGGCAGAGGGAACAGAGGGGCTGCAGAACTGTGTACTGGGTTTCAATGTTTCTGCTTTTATGAGGCCATTTCCACTCACAGTTCACTGGCCCAAGCTGTGCATATGATGCCTACCACAATGGTGCAGGGAAATCTATTTTTTCGAGAAGGACTCTATCCTGCAAGTCAGATAACAATGAGTAGAGGCAGTAAACATAGTAATATAATCCCCAACGCAAGCTCTTGCTTCTGATTTTTAAAATCCAGAAAATTAGAAGAAAATAGAAGGGGAGGGAAAAGTTCCTAGACAGGTTACTGCAGTAGATGGGATGGCATGTTCAACAGCAAGGAAATGATTGAAAGTGTATTTCAAAAGTGGTAGAATAGAAGCACAGCATCTTTGAGTCATGCAGTAGAGATGCACATGGCCAAATTCTCCTGAGGGCGTCACCCTAGTCATTAGCTTACATATGGTTCTGTTTATCATATGTGCTGTTTCCAATCTGATTAAGTAGAGTTGAGGAAACCAGTAGGACATATTATTTGCTTGACTTATTTTTCCCCTTTATAAAGATCTTCATCTGCCTCTTTCTTCCTCTTCCACATCACCACCACCCACCTTCTCCCTTTGATCATAGAACACACAGACTCGTAGGCATGTCATTGGAGGAACCTAGCTCTGAAGACAGGCCTTTGTTGGTGGAAGGTACACAAATCGATTTCTTCACAAACTCTATAAGGGTTTTTGACTGTTCGACACCTAACCTCCAGTGGACTATAGTGTCATTAATAATTAATAAAATTGAAAAATTGCCAGAGTCAAGGGGTGGAGAATCTCATGATTCAAGTTTTTCAAATAATCCATAACCAAGGCAGAGAAACTATAATCAGATGCTTCACCTCTCAAGGTCATGAAGTTGTTAATTATGATAACTTTAACAGTTATTGGACTCCCATGGTATTGTTGATTCAAAATTCAAACTCTGGCCGTTCATGGTACTAACACATTTCTGTCTAAGAAAAAAAAAATTCCTACATTTGGTTTGTTGGTGGCAGAGTGTTCGTGTGTCAAACAAAATCAGTCCCACAAACTCAGCATAAGTGGTAATCTCAAACTTCTCAAACATAAGAGTAAGAGGTATCTTCTTAGTGAATCACTAACTCTGAAGGCTAGGAGGCTAGTTAAGTGATGTCACATCTCTGTTGCTTAGAGTTGAATGTGTTTTATTTATATCACTGAAGTGTCTTTTTACATCACTGAAATTTAAAGTCTATGTGTTTTCATGGAAATGGACCCTTATGGATTTATTCAGCAAGCATTTGTTGAGTAATTATGCTGGCCTGGCACTGGTTTGTCTGAAACAAGTGCACAACTGTTGGTGCATGAACTCATGGCTTCAAAATGGTGCATAAAATACGAGGGGAGAATCATAGTAGTACATGCCTTTGGTTTGCCCGTGGCCCAGTGGGACCAGCTTTTAATGATACAACAGAGACTTGAAAAGTATAACACGAAATAAAAATAATTATTTATCATTATCTTACTACGTACAAAGCATTTCCTTGTTTAGATTCTGGAATATGTATCAACCTAAGACTTTCTCTCCTGCCCCTCTCTCCCTGTCGCTTTGTCTCTGTCTTCTTATGGGTTCTATTTCAGTCGTTTCATTAGCCTCAACGCAATGTTTTCTTGGTCAGAGACCTTTTAGGGCTTTATGATGTTTCCTGCATCATAAATTCTGTGTCCCATTTAAAATATTTAATGTCTGCTTCACTAGAGTAGAACCTTGTGAATGCGGATCACTTTGTGTGTTACATTCAGAGTAATTATATCACTTTTCTGGATCCTTTTAAATACATAGTAAGGCTTTTAAAACAGTTGGTAAACCTAAAGTTCTGTACCAATGTGAAGTTTTACTATATTTATTATTAGTTTTTTTAAACACAAATGTATGTATTTGATATTTTTCAGCAAGTCATATGCTATACACACTTCAGTTGTAACATTCATATGTGCCTGTTTTAGTGTCATATGCTATAAAATCGATCATACATCTATACAAAATACATGTGTAAAAGCTACATAAAATACATGTTTCATCACCGGGTGAAACAACCCAGGTGATATGTGAGGTTTTAAAAAAGAGAAGTATATTAAATAAATCTTGGACAATATTTTTCTATAAATATTTAAACTGTTATAGAACCAAGCCCTTTACTAAAATGAAGAGGAAGAAAAATATAATCTTGAAAAGCAGTGATCTAAACTACTTGCTAAAGCTTCAATATTTTTAGATATGTGGTAGATTCTGGATCTTAATTGCATGACTGTTGTTATTTCTGGATCACACATACCTTACGTCTTGGCAGACTTACCATGCAATGAAAACTCATTTCCTTGTGACTTTGGGTTAATGGTGAATGAATGAAAGAAAAGAAAAAAAAATTAAATCTCTCATAAGAAGCAATTCTGGCATTATAGCCAAGTATACTTTTCCCTGTAATAATAATTGCACCATCTACTTTAACCTTAGTGTTTTCTCTATTTACATTGAAATAAAAATGTTTTATATTTCCTTAGGTTAGCACTCACTGTCTTTGTGAAAAAAAGGAATTGAAAATAATTTTAACACCTATGTATGCCTGGCTCCTTATCACACACAATGAGAAGTTGGTTTGGATAGAAAAATGACTTACGCACTAGTAATTCATGTTAACCTTAAAGCAGAGACCTGAGTATGGCTAGAGAGGGAATCTCCTCTGCAGTTCTTTTCAATTCTGAAATGCTTCTCATTTTTGTTATTTCTTTGGAGATATTGGTTGTACTAAAGAAAGAAGGAGATAATATTCATGTTTCTTCGTGTTTGTGTTTGTATTTCTCTGTCTGTGTTTCGTGAAAGGCCTGGAAGAAATCAATACATAGTATAATTGTTTATGATGTATAGTAGAATTCAAGATGAATTTGATGATAGATTAAATTTTATTAATATTAACTTTTACCTACCAATATTCTTTGCTGATATTGAAGTAGAGCACAAACCCTTTACTAAGCATTCCAACTACAAGTACTTTGGGTCAAGACTGAACTAGACACTTTACATATTTTGTCCCTAAATAATGTAGTGTTCTAGTGAGATAGAAAGCTTTGAAAGGCTAAGTTACAGAGTTGCAGAGATAGAAAGAGCTTTGATGAGATTTGACTCCTGTTTCATATGACATTAAAGCCCATGTGTCTTTATTCTAAAAATGCTTCTTACTCTAAGAGTTGGAACAAAGAGACTATGTCAAGAGAGAATTTTGGTGTATGTCAGTGTTTGGAAGTTATTTCTGAAATACTAGATGCTTTGATACAAGCTGCTATGTTCATTAGCTTCTCGGTAGGTATTACTTGGGCAGAGCTCGTGCCCAGGAGTACTTGGACCTTCATTCTAGTGTGCCCTCTATTGGAATAACCCAGAACTCAACACCCAACTGGAGACCACCCCAAAGGCTAAGGGGAAGAATGGTGGAGCAGGAGGATGGAGGTCTAGATTCTGGGTCTGCTATGCAGCTGAATTATTTTGTACAAATCCTAAACCTCCAGTTCCTTCATCAGTACACTGGAGATCATGCTGATCTACCCAGTGTATCTCTTGGGGTTTTATTAGGCAGGTCCTATGTAGAAAGCCAATATTTTAAAAAAACATTAAGTATTCATGAAGTAGATATGTGATTGGCATTGCTGGAGACAGGAGCATACAGTGGTTCATGAAACAGATAAAATCTCTGTCCCTATAAAGCTATTGTTTTCTTGCAGGATTTAGCCAGTTGATGAATTAATTACAGCATAATGTTTTAGGGCTTGAGGTAACAAAGAAGGGCATTAAGAGGTACTCGGAGCAAATCTCAGAGGAGGTCGAAATGGCAGCAACTCATAGTAAGCACTTGTAAGGCAAAGGAGGAGAAGGGACGCAGGAAAAGGAAAGACATTGGGTAGAGATTTTGTGGTAAAATTTAAGAGCACATTATTGTGGGAGTGAGAGATTTAAAAAAAAAAAAGGAGAGATTTTCATGTGGTTCTCAAGTCAGCCAGCTAATCTGTGGGAATATGAATCAGGAAGCTGAGGAGGGAAAAGAAACACAAACTCATGTCTGCATGACCAAATTTTGGAAGACAAAAAGAATGAGTGCTGGGGAAGTCCACACCACTTAAAAGGTTTTCCTTACAATATTTTGCCAAATGTGGTATCTGGAGAGAGAACCTTGGCATGTACCAAAAATGCCAGAGACACTATTATAAACAGAGACCTGGGATGTGGAATGTAGGCTCTGTCTGGAGTTCAACGGCAGGCATTCCCAGCCTGGGAAGGAAGGCCCTATCGGGAATTCTATAACAAGAACCCAGCCTGGGAAGACATGGGCTATGCTAGATCCACATCAAGAAATCCTGGGCATATGTTGCAAAAACAGAGGCTTGCAGGCGAGTCTCCAGGGTTGTTAATCTTGAGATGCAGATCCTAATGTGTGTAAACACCAAGGTTCAAGTATGTTTTGGCCTGAGTAGCAACTTTCTTCTAAATAGAAAAGCAACAGGTGGCTCACCCAAGATGTCCTAAAGACTAGCTGAGTCAGGATATGACGAAGAACTGTGATTCTTTGATACTTTGAAAAACTAAAAAAAAATAATAATAAAAGCTAAATTTTTATTCTGGACCTTTAAATTCTTACTGTAATGATTATTTTACCTCATTTTTAGATGAAACTGTTAAGCTTCAGGAAGACTCAAGTAGATATTTTTGGGTTGTTGGGGACATTGGTTGGATTTTGTCAAAGCCACTATATATATTTTTTCCTTATGCCATTTATGCACAGTAACAATTGAGAAAAAGTCAGATAATGATATATTTGTGCTCCAGCTGTGTGCCAAAAACTGTATTCAGTTGTGTGTGACGATAGCTTGTAAGCTATGATGCCCAAATTTCTGAAGCAAGTTGAGTCTCTCTGTGCGGAGCAGAAGAGTGAGTAGAGATGGAGAAGCTTAATTGGGAAACTTTTTCAGAAGAAAGAGAATCTAAGAAAATGTCTCTTTCCCTCATGGACTCCATCTCCCTTGCCCCTTCATGTCTCTTCCATGAGCTGAACTATGTGACCATATTATTTGTCATGCACTTTTGAGTGTGAAAAGGGATATGGTTAACAATGATGCCAGGACAAAAGGCATCAACTGGGGCATGGGGTCACCTTGGTTTAACTTCTTGTGCTCTGTAAAGGACTTCACAGATGCCACCTCACACCTCAACCCTGTTGGAAACAGTCCTCTTCTTTGCATTCCCATCACACTCTGTAGCTATCTTTGATGTAGTGCAGGCTGTGTTGCCTCTCAGTTATTTGTGCCGTGTTTGTCTCTCCCATTGAACTGTGAGCTCTTTGAAGGTGAGAGCTCTGTGTTAATCATCTTCACCCAGCATCTCCATTCTACAGCCCAAGGCCTGGCACAAAGGAAGTGCCCAGAGTTTGATGATGGGGAATACATTAATAGAAACATTTAAGTGGGGAGGAGGGCATGGGCAATATACGTAACCTTAACATTTGTACACCCATAATATGCTGAAATAAAAAAAAAAAGAAACATTTGGAAGAAGATAGGTGACAGCATTGATCACCTATTCCTGGAGAAGCTATTCCTGGTACAGAGAAAGGAAATATAATAGCATGTCTAATAGCATAAAGTTGCTCACAATGATCACAAGCACAGTGTTGCAAATAAATCCACTCTGTGGGATGGAGCATTATGGGGAGGAGAATGTCAAGAAATGAGCAGGACTGGGTGAAGAGCCAGAGTGGGTGGAAACTATAGATTGTCCAAATCTCTTGTGTGGTGGCTGCTCTAAGGAGGGGTATTATGTGTAAAAACATGGATGCTATATTTTGCCATCCCCCTAATGCAATGGATTGGATCCTAAGCTTGAGTTTGGAGGAATGTGTTTGGTATGCATTAAAACTTGAATGATAAAAAGAGAATAGCTTCTCAAAGAATTTTGATACTTCTGCTTCCAGCTGAAACCAGGAAGTTCAGAGGCAGCAAAAATGAAAACAAGGAAAACATTAATGGATATTTTGAACCTAGAAAAGGTTTGGTTTGAGTTTTGAAGGAAAGTCTGAGTTGGTTAACAGCCCTCAAGTACTACTGTTATGATTTGCTGGCTTTTTATTTGTTTATTATATTTCATTTATTTAATAGTGTCATATTATGTTCTAATTCTTCAGGGTGGGTCCCTAAATTTGGCAGCTTAACCAAGGCTTCTGCATTTACTGCAATGCTGAGGAAGCCAAACTACCCAGAACGGGCTTGTGTTGTAATGGCTTGGGCCGCTTTGCCCCAAATCAGCAGTTCTACTTGGGAGGGTCTTGCAAAGTATTCTACAAAAGGTTTTCTCCATTATTTGCATAGAATGGTAACACTTTATTTAAAGCAACATGTATACATAATTTAATAAGTGATTGCCAGAATTAATTTTCTCTAATAAAAATAATAGTAAAAAATAATTTTTAAAAAATTATCACTATGGAATAGTGAAATGTCTAAGCCTCGATCTCTAAATTTTGGCCTGAAGGGACCCCAATTTCCAAGAATCTATGGAAGTTTGACTTCAGCGTGTCCAAAGTGGGCAGATTAAGCTCCAGGCATTTATTGTGAGTGTGCAATGAAGGTTTGCATACTGAACTCCCATGTCATCTTCTTCAAAAAGTAAAGTTTCAGACCTTTTCTTCCTAACAGGAGCACTTTCCCTTGGAGGTCTGAATCTGCATTCTGGGGTCTTCACTGGGTTCTTCAGTAACCGATGTATTTAAAGGACCCTCTTGAATGCCCACTTATTTTATCTATACATGTTCCTTTAAGTACTTACCTAAAGAGTTTTCTTCCATGTGACAAAGCTGCTTATTTTAAATGCTCATTACTACTCACTTTTTATGCTAAGAAAATGCATATTTGAGTTGCAGTTTGCAAATAATGATCAAAGAGAGCCTTCCTCTTAATTAAATCATTGGTTAACCTGATAAGCCTCTTCAGGGGTCAAATTAATTAATTCTACAAAATTCCAATCCTATTGGCGTTCCTTTTGGCCAAATCATTTCAAAATTTACTATATAAAGTTTCCTTCCTAATCAGATTGTAAATTCTTTACAACTGAAGAAAGCATTAACATAAATATGGCATTTACATTATAGTTTTGATAACTGCAAACCTTGATCCATGCTTAGGTGATCAGATAAACCATAAAAGTGTTAGGAAAACTAACATGATTAAATCAAGAAGAAGGTGCTATATTATTAATAAGCAAATTTTCAACAATCGGACTCTCTTCCAATATTTTTTTAAATGAGGTAATGTTTGATATGTGTTTAACACAGTTAATTTTTTTCTTTCCTAGAGAGACACCTCCTCTATGGACGACCTGCAGTGCTATATCGGACCAGATATGATATTTTATATCATACTGACTTTGAAAGTGGTTATAGTGAAATATTCCTAATGCCCCTCTGGACATCATATACTGTTTCCAAACAGGTTGTTGAGAAAATTGGATTTTACGGTTCTTCATTTTATTACATTTCTTGCATTAATAACAATGAATGCTTGCTTAATAGAATCTTGTCTTGGAAAATATTTTAATTTTTCCTGATGAAAGAAATCCTGTGTTGGATCTACTGCAAGATATTTTGAACAGGTCATAATGTAATGTTCTAATAATTCCATGGCACTATGTGACGCACTGAAGGGAGCATAACTAATTTTTTCAGTTTGTTTTACTTCGCTTAAGTCATTGCCTGCTGCTAGTTACAGAAGCCACTAAAGTTGGTTTGTTTATTTCAATAGACTATTTTTTAGAGCAATTTTCGGTTCCCAGCAAGATTGAGTGGAAAGTGTAGAGTTCCTGTATACTCTCTGCCCGCCCCACACCGACAGCGTCCCCCTCTATCAGTATTTGGTTTGTTTGTAATAATGTTTTATGTTGGGGTTTCAGTTTTGATGAAGATGACATAGGTAGGTATATGTCAGGAATAAGAAAATTGTATTTGGCAGTTGAGCTTTGTTTTACATTTCTGAATACAAAGGGAGAGAACACTCCTATTACTCAAAATACAGCTTCATTTTAATTTGTACTGTGTGCATATATGTGTGCTCCTGTACATACTCTGTGTGTGTGTTCTATTTTTTTTTTTAGAGGATACATCTATATTATTTCTTAGAGTGTTATTTTTTTAAGTTATCTTCTGTGAATTCTATTCATTATTTAAACAGTGGGATTTGTGCTTTATAGTCTGCTTTATATTGGTGTTTTACTGAAGACTTTGGTAAGAGAATTTTGCTGCTAAAAAATAAGAGTTTGAAAATTATTGGCTTTCATGGCATTTAATGGTAGGGACTTGTTTTTTTAAGAGTCAGAATATCAGAATATGAACTATAATAAAAGCTGGGGGGGGTGATTTTGGCTGTTTGTAGCAGAGCAACCTGGCATCAGTATTTCCCTGTCACTTTAGCATTGTCACTGTGATGGCATTGCTGAGTGTCCCTGACTCCTCCTGCAGGCTGAGGTCTCTGGCATCCCCGAGCATCTGACCAGTTGTGTCCGGCCTGACGTCCGTGTTTCTCCGAGTTTCAGTCAGAACTGTTTGGCCTACAAAAATGATAAACAGATGTCCTACGGATTCCTCTTTCCTCCTTGTAAGTTATAGAGTCTGAGGATCTGATCTTTCTAGAGGGATGTTATTTCGTGCATTCCAGAGTGTGAAACTTGGCATTTAGGATTTCAGCAGCACAGGTTTTCTTCAAGAGGAGCACTCTACAAACTGCAGAGATAAACTTCTATGGGATCCTTCCAAAATCGGCCAAAAAATGACCAACTTTCAAAAATCTCATTCTCCAGGAGAATTCTAAAGTGCAAGGGATTCTTCTGTGGTCCCCCTCATATCATTAAATGAGAATCTGAAAACAAAATAGTAAATCATTAAGACCTTAGTCCTTTAAATAATGCTATAGAGGGGCTCTCTTAAGAATACATGAAGCCCTTTAATTATCTCTCATTATCTTGATGACAGTTTTATAAAGTCTAAATTACACTAATGAAATCAAGGAATGCTTTTATATAATGGTTGGTCGACTCAAGAACTAGGTAGGAAGAAAAGATATTGTAAAGGATTTTTGAGAGAGCTATTCAGGGAAAAAGAGAGGCTGAGTAGGGCGTGGGGGAGTAGGAAATGTATAAAGGAGTTAGTGAGTAGGAGTAAAAGAGTAGATCCATTTACTTCATGCTATTTGGACCATTTTAGAAAATTGCTTTTTTGATTGATGTAGATTTTGGTAAGCAATGTACGCTATTTGTTTCCCTAATGCTTAGATCTGAGCTCTTCGCCAGAGGCTAAATATGATGCATTCCTTGTAACCAACATGGTTCCAATGTATCCTGCTTTCAAACGTGAGTCTAATATTTACCTAATACACTGTTATTTATGAATACAAATATTTCTAAATTTACCACTTGCCTTTTCCACCTCTATACTAATTTTATTTCAATGCATATAGCCTGTATACGTTCATGTATATAGCCTGTATACTTTTTGAGGACCTTTCATATAAATTCCCTATTGTTGATTCAAAATTTGAATCTGTGAGGGAGGTTGGCAGTTTATCCCTTGTTTATAATTAAGAAATGGACATCACAAAAAGTGGTCCAGCTCATGAATGGTAGAACCTACACCAAGTTTCTGTTTTTCTTTTAATCTGGTGCTATTTTTATTTCAATGCCCATTAGTTTGATGGTTAAAAGGGTCTTTGTTATATTTTTGAGGCTACATGACCTTTAGCAGCATTTATATTTATTTATTGAACATTACAATAAAAGCCACTAGCACCTCTCTCCTTTGGGGTTATGATATATTTTGAATGTTGACCCTGAAACCCAGCAAGACCATGAAGTGTCTTCTGAATCATCAGAGCATTGATTTCAGATGGTTTTAGGACTGTGCAAATTATTGTTTTAGTTTCTTCGAACACTTATAATTTCTTTGTACGTGACATAAATATTTGTGGGTGATAGTAATATTATGAATTGTATAGGCACAATAAACTTGGCTCCCCCAAACCAAGTTCTTGTTCCTGCAGTGAGCCCACTGGCTGTGTCATCATAGAAATGCCATTTAACCTCTCATTTGTGAAGTTAAAAGATTTGATTACATGACCTCTAAGACTCGTTTGGATTTATGACTTAATTGTCCAATGGCCAAAACAATTCGTTTTTTTATTTCTGATAACAAGGAATTCATTCTTTCATCTCTCCATCCATCCATCCATCCATCCATCCATCCATCCATCCATCCATCCATCCATTCATCCATCCATTCATCCTTTCATCTACCGAAGCATTCAAAGATAGAGAAAACATAATGGAGTAGCTTTTACTTCCTGTTAGTTCATGTACCATGAACATACCTAAATGCTTATGGGAAAGTAGGAAAAGGATACACCTGTCCTGATTCAATGTGGCAGAGGAGAATTGGGTTGTGTTACAGTATCTCAGAGCTGAAATAGAATCTCGAGATAGGAGCAAGTGATTGTGGAGTGTCATCTGCAGTGCAGGTCTCCCCGGCTAAACCCTGGTGAAGTGAGCCACAGAGTTTAGAGAAACAGATGTTTATTTGATGTCCTAGTTAGTAAATGAAGGTTTATTCAAAGGTAGAATCCATTGCATGGGAGTGAAAAATTAAAGTCTGCTTTTAAAAGGTTTCCTGGTTTGTTCTCAGCCCAATTGAGAAACATTTCAGAAACTCACATAGATACATTTATCACAATATTACACGGAAGGCAGCTTCATTTAATTTCCAGAAATCAGGGTTTCCTGGATTTCTCTATTCTTTATTGATGTGTTTTTTGACCAAATGGTAATAGAGGAAACACACGGTACCACCCTGAGGCTGGTATGGAAAGGGCCTTTCACAGAGAGCTGGTTGTTCTTCTTCACTAGGGGAATGGTTTTTTCACATGCCACATTTCTGCGGGGTTGGCCTTTTGACTATTCTCATTGTTGTTTCTTTTCCTCTCTCCCTGTCCATTTTTTTTTTTTTTGATTGCTCAAGTTAACATTTGAACTTCTCTCTCACTGTCCAACTTCTTTCTTTAGTGCAAATAATTCTTTAAGGTATTTTGGCTCTGGCGAGCTGCTCTGCCATTCTCACCCAGAGCAGAGTATCAGAAGGGATAAAGGACAGTTGACACACTCTGAGAAAGATAGCCATGTACTTTTTAGTAAGGGGAGGGAAGAAGAGATAAAAACTGGAACCTCACAACCCTTACGTAGAAGAGAGCGTGGTGAGTTGGAGCAAATATTTCAGAACCAACTCACTGCTTGCCTTCCTGTCTTCTGTTGTTCTTTTCTTTTGCCTTTCTCCTTTTCCATTCTGCTCCCCTCGTGCCTCCTTGATGGGTCATCATGTACATTACAGCCAGAGTGGACAAGGAAATCCTCTGCAGTGGGAGACATTAGAAGTGAGAAATGAGTAATAGAGGAGAAATCAGATAAGCACAGATCAGGGGATGAGATTTTCAGGCAAGGAGAAGAGCAAATGCAACTGCTTAGCCTGGAGCAAGTTTGGTAAGGCTGGGCCACAGAAAGAAAGCCTTGTAGCTGAGGGGGAAAGAGTAGGAAGTAAAGTCATGGAGGGAGGCTGAGGCCACAGTGGGGAGTTGGAAACTATCCAGAGTGTTAGAAATGGGTGGTGTTGGGGGAGGGGTTGTGGGAGCTATGACCTGATTTATGGTGTAAAAGGATCTATCTGGCTTCTATATGGGGGATGGGCTACCAGGGAAGTCCATTTCTCACAAGGAGCTCAGGAAATAGTGTTTTGTGGCAGTTCACTTCAGAGAGGAGGATAAATTAGACCAGGGTAGATGTAGTGAAAAAGGTGGTCAGATTTGGGGTTATTGGGATGTATTTTGGTGACAGCACTGACAGGACTTGTTCAATATGTGTATGAAGTTAGGAGAAAAGGCAAGGATGACTCCTAGGATTTTGGCCTGAACCTCTGAGTAGGGTCAGAGCATTGACATGATCAGAGTAGGTGAAGGTTGGGGCAGGATTGGGGAGGAACATCAAGATTGTGTTTGGATAATGCTGTGCTTGCTGTGACTATTAGGTATTCCAGTGGATTATGAAATGGGTGGTTGGATAATATGTCTGGAACTCTGTGGGAAGGTCCAGGCTAAAGAAATAAACTTGGGAACTAGCATATTAATGAGATCCTGAAGGAAGAGAAGGTAGAGTAAGACCTTATTTTGATTACTCAGAAATGCCATACATCCTCCTTTGCACATACTATTCCCTTGCCTGGCCTCTACTTCTTTGTCTAGGAAATGTTCCCTACTTATCCATCCCTTAGTAACTACTTTGTCTGGGAATCCTTCCCACACTTCTTGTACTAGGTTAAACTCCCCTATTGTTTTTTCATAGCTCCATATATTTCCCTTTGCTGGTTTATAAATAATACACACACTGATAATGCTTTGCAGTGAATTCTTCTCATGAACCACAATAGTTCTATTGTCTCTTGGCTTGTAACATTTGGCCTGTAGAATGCACCCTGGACAGCATTTGGCCAAAGCAATGAGTTTTGTTCACAAATAATTGATTTTTGCCTTTGCACAGGGGTTTGGAATTATTTCCAAAGGGTATTGGTGAAGAAATATGCCTCAGAAAGAAATGGAGTTAATGTGATAAGTGGACCAATTTTTGACTATGACTACGATGGCTTACATGACACAGAGGACAAAATAAAGCAGTAAGTATTTAACTTCTTCTACCCAGCATGTGATTAGATCTCGCTCAAGGCTATTTTTCAAATATTCATGTGCTAGAGAAAAACTGATACCCCTTAAATGTTTTTCTCTTTGAATCTCCTTCTGAATTCTTCAGTTCTTATGATTAAATGTGGCATTGGTGGTTGGAATGGAATTTTGGGGTTTGTGGTAAATAAATGCACTTTTCTGTTCTGTGAAAGAATACGTACCGACGATTTTAAAATGTATTTAATGACTCTTCAATAGAAAGATGATCATTTCCACTCAGCTCCATTATTTTTGGGGGGTGGGGAGAACTTTGGGAATCCCTTAGATTTTCTGAGTTCGTACATCTCCGTAGGAAATTGCATATAGATTTTCGTTGACACTGGTTGCCTCTGTCTCTCTCCGTGGTGCTATTGGGCATGTGAAAAAATAAGTGATATTCTGGGCTTTTGAGGAACTCACAGTCTAGTGGAGGAGACAAGATGATACACATGCCAACAAATTCAGAATCAGTTATAATTTAATTTTATACATACATGAAACAACAAGAGAGCAACAGAATATTAGAGATGGTTTGGTTGAAATTTACAGATAATTAGAGAATAAAATGCTATTTTAAAAATACAGATGGATAAAATAGAAGTTATATTACTGCTTTTCTAGTCATTCATAAGGGAAATTTTATTATACTTGTACATTTATTTTATTGTTGATCATTGTTATAGTTTTTTGGCTAACATTAAGTTATTAGCTTAATCATAATTTTAGTATTAGGAAAATGGTTAAAATTAAGATAATAGAAAGCCAGGTAAGGAATTGTGAATTTCTGTACGTTGCTGTACTGGAAAAGAGTTTGTATACTTCTAGACTCGTAACTAGCACTCAGGCCTTGGTTCTTCTTTTGGTAAATGAGTTCTTTGTACCAAGTTTAATATCTCATTGTAGCTTGAAAAGGCTATTATTCTCCTAGCTCCAGTATCTTCTGCCTCTGGTCCATTGTATACAACTCTATGAGAGTTATCTTCCTGAAACATAGATATACTAATGAATGACACTCCCTAACACAAAAATCTTCAGTATGGAGAATTACCTCCTAAACAATAATGCCCAAACTCCACACCCTGGCACTCAGAACCCACCACAATTTGGCTTTTATTGCTTTCATTGACTCCTACAACCTTTCATTTCTACTGCATTGATCTATTAACCGTTACCTGCCTCCAAGTCTTGGACTAAGCCATTTTGTGATTTTTTTTTTTTTTTTTTACATGGAATTGTCCTTCTTGCTCTGCCAGGTTGAGGGAGTGAGGGGTTATCAGGCAGACAAAACATTATGTTCAAAGACACAGTAGTGGGCTAGTGCTTACAAGAGGCAAATGACTCAATTGAATGGAAATTAATTTCAGTGGCATTGGCAATATTGATTGGTCATCATTTAAAAGAGAAAGCTTCTACATCACTTGTGATTTTATTTTACCTTCCTGTTTCAGGTACGTGGAGGGCAGTTCCATTCCCGTTCCAACTCACTACTATAGCATCATCACCAGCTGCCTGGATTTCACTCAGCCTGCTGACAAGTGTGACGGCCCTCTCTCTGTGTCCTCCTTCATCCTTCCTCATCGGCCCGACAATGACGAAAGCTGCAATGTGAGTTCACGGAGACAGTCCTTTAGGATTTGCTTTCATAGTTAACCTTTGTTTCTTAATTTATATTTCCATTGTTGAAGTATAATACACTTATTATAAAGCGGTGTACTGTACAACAAAGTAGAAAGAAAAGAGGACAACAGAACTTTGCCTAACATATAGGAACTTGGTTTTCTAATAACTTTTTATTTTCAATGTATGTGTGCATTTGACATGATTTTGTTTATATGTTCAGGTTTGACAAATGATAAAAGTGCCCGAATGTTTTTATTTCTTTTATTTATTTATTTATTTTGTGTGTTTTGACATTTAAAAAAATAATTTTAGCACATTATGGGGGTACAAATATGTTTAGGTTATGTATATTGCCTTTGCCCCACACAAGCCAGAGCTTCAAGCATATCCATCCCCAGATGGTGTGCACCGCACCCATTAGGCGTGACTATATCCAGCCCCTCCCCACCTCCCTCCTTCCCCACACTTGATGAATGTTACTACTATATGTGCACATAAGTGTTGATCAATTAGTACCAATTTGATGGTGAGAACATGTGGTGCTTGGTTTTCCATTCTTGTGATACTTCACTTAGTAGAATGGGATCCAGCTCTATCCAGGATAATACAAGAGGTGCTATATCACCATTGTTTTTTGTGGCTGAGTAGAACTCCATGGTATACATATACCACATTTTATTAATCTATTCATGTATTGATGGGCACTTGGGTTGTTTCCACATCTTTGCAATTGTGAATTATGCTGCTAAAAATATTCTAGTGTAAAAGGTGAAGGGATATAATCTACAGAAGAGGATTTTTTTTCTTTTTTTTTTTTTTTTTTTTTTTTTTTTTGAGACAGAGTCTCGCTTTATTGCCCAGGCTACAGTGAGTGCCATGGCGTCAGCCTAGCTCACAGCAACCTCAAACTCCTGGGCTCAAGCAATCCTGCTGCCTCAGCCTCCCGAGTAGCTGGGACTATAGGCATGCACCACCATGCCTGGCTAATTTTTTCTATATATATTAGTTGGCCAATTAATTTTTTTCTATTTATAATAGAGACAAAGTCTCGCTCTTGCTCAGGCTGGTTTCAAACTCCTGACCTCAAGCAATCTGCCTGCCTCAGCCTCCCAGTGCTAGGTTTACAGGTGTGAGCCACTGCACCTGGCCCAGAAGAGGATTTTTATTCAACATGTATTACTCAAATTCCTAAATTGTATAAGGTAGTCTAGGAGAAACAACAGTGTGTTAGACATAGTCACCACTTCTAGGCAGCCTACAGGGTAGGGTGGCGAATAAAACTGGGATAGAAATGGCTACACTGAAAGACTAAGAGCCATAAGAATAGCTTCAGTGGAGAACATCAGCTTCACAGGCAAGGTAGTTTTTGGCCAATGGCTTCAATCAAGGGTGAAGATTGTGGCTATGAATATTCAAAGCAAAATGAAGGATGTAGAAAAAAAATTTAGAAATTTGAAATATGGCCTAGAAAGCTTATTAGGTTTGGACAGAATATTGGAAATTAAGGCAGTAGTGGGAGATAATATTTTAAAAGTTGCTTGGAATCAAATATTTAAAAGCATAGTAGTAGTGATGGTAATAATAGTAGTAGTAACAGGAGTCATAGTAGCAGCAGTAGTAGCTGTTACCATTTATTGAGTACATGCTATGATCCAAACACTGTACAGGTCTTTTACTTAAATTATTTCTAATAGTATAATCACCCTATGGGGTAGGTAAGTATACAAACGATCTCTCCCCAGCTCTTTTATTAACTGTTGAGAAACCTATAGCTAATAAAGGGAAAGTACATTGTATGGTTACTTGAAGAGTAGAGTCTTAAGGAAAATGTCTAATCAGAAGAGCAACATTCTAGGCTAGGTATGTGGCTCACGCCTGTCATCCTAACACTTTGGGAGGCTGAGGCGGGAAGGTGTTCAAGATCAGCCTTATCAATAACAAGACCCTATCTCTCAAAAAAATAATTAGCTGAGTGTGGTGGCGCAGACCTGTAGTCCCAGCTAGTCAGGAGGCTGATCCCGGAGGAACACTTGAGCCCAACAGTTAGGTTGTGATCATGCCACTGCACATTCTAGCCCAGAGAAGAATAAGAGCAACATTTTAAGCTCTGCTTTTGGGAGATAAATTTGAATTGGAGGAGGTTGGGCGTGGTGCTCAAAAGGGCTTTGGCAAGATTTACAGGAGTGAGCGCGAAAGAACTTGAACTAATGTTATGATCCTGGAAATTTGAAAAGAAGGATGGAAGGCAGCAATATTATACCCAAAGGATCAATAGGGTTTTATAAATGATTGAACAGGAGATGAAGAAGTGAGGAAACTGCAAGTGAGAAACGAGCTGTCATCAACTAACTTACTGGCTTGGCCTTCTCAATTTTGGTTGTTCATAACCATGAGTAGCTAATGGAGTATCAGGGCATTATATTGCCTCTATAACATGAAATACTTTCTCTGAGCTTCAGTTTTACTAAAATCTTGTGGGGAGGTAAAATTTTTGCAAAAAATCAAACACATATATTATGGAGTGAAATTAAAAATTGCCATGCACTTTTAAGTTAAAGCAAATACTTTTGCAGATTGCCAGCTGACATCCAGGCAGAGGATATTTTCTTCACACAAAATAGCCAGATTTCCTAATTACGAACTGGAGACCAGATTTTAGTGTGTGAGAACCAGAAGAGAATGCCTCTCCAATGAAATTGGCAAATCACTTCCCAAGGAAAGAAATAGCAAGGGACAGATTTTTTTTTAGAATTCTTCTAATCCCAGCTGACCATTATTTAAATTAGGAAAAATCTTTTTACCCCTGTCCACACATTGAAATGACTGCATTTGCAAAGGAAAAATTGGAATGACTGACCATTGAAAAATCAAACAAATGAGCTGAATATAAAAATTCTCCCAAAATACAGCCTCATGCTTACCCTGCTTACTCTGAGGGGGTCCTGACCCATCTGGAGACCTCCTACTTCGATAATTATAGGGTCACACTGAGGATTGGTCAGCACCGTTGTGGGTAGAGTTATATTTAGGTCTTTCCTGTGAATCACAGAGATCTTGGTTAGGTTGGGTTAGGAGGGTGTGGCACAGAAGGTTAAAATCCTTACTTCCCTAGGCCGTAAAGCAATTTCTTCCCATTTCTTCATTTTGCCTTGGAAAGCCAGGAATCAGTTTCCTGAACCAACACCCTTGTGGGTCATATTTAGCACTGGCACGAGCGGCTATATCCCCTTGTCCAGGTCTGCGTGGGTTGGAGCTTTCCGAGAAAACCTATTGCAGGTTATTGGGCTTTGGTGGCTAGTTCCCTGAGACCACTAGTGGTAAAGAATTGAGTAAGGGCCTGTCTGAACATTCTCAGCCCTGGGACATGCAGCCACCTTTCAGCTTGTAGAAAGGCTCTTCGGAGCCGTTATAATTCCTGGGGCATTTGTGAATGAAATTATTTGCAAAGGCCTTCCTACTCCATGTCTGCTAATGAAGGTAGGCACTTCTCCATAATTCACAGGGCTGTCAGAACTTATTCTTTCCCTCAAAAATGAAAGAAGATATTTTTGAGATGCAAAGATCTGCTTCACCTGAATTATCTTTTAGTTTTAAGTTAGACATGAAATAAGTTGTTTGATGTGGAACATCCGAAGGTCTTTCATCTGGAACTTGTGCCCATGAGGCAGTTTTTGGCAAGCAGCTAAGACAGAAAGAGATTTTCTTCCTTACTTTTCCTTTTTCTTCCTTCCTTTCTCCCAGGGAATGGCAGAAATTAGCATTATTATCCTTGTGAACCGATAAAGAAACTGAGGCCTCGAGAAGTCAAGTATCTTGACCAAGGTCTCATAGCCAAAAAAAAAAAAAAAACACTAGACCCACATTTCCAGCTCAGGTATCTTGGGCTCCAAAATGCCAGGTGTACCAACTCTGCTGCTTTAAGTCAAACACATTATTCAAGTATCAATTCATTGCATTCCAAGAGATGATGTAGTGGGTTCTTTAAAAATCAAGCAAAAAACTAGGAGTGCACACACATAATTTTGTGCATCAGGCATTGGTCCTTCCCTTTCCTTGGGAGGCAGAAGAATATTCCAAATTACTTGTGCTCCATGCTCAACATTGCAATTTGACAGCCGGGAAAAGAAACAAATTACTGAATTCTCCAGGGCCTTTGGTTTTCCTAATTTTGATTTATGTTCTGAGAACCTATTGAGTCAAATGCACTCTCATACCACATGTCTCGTTTATTTGGTACAGCTAATTGCTGTTGAAAATGTTTTCAGCCGAGGGCAGGTATTTGTGGTGCATTACCGACAGGAATGCGGCAGAGAGGCAGAAAGGCCAGGAAGAAACAACATGTGTTGGCTCTGTATACAGGAGCGTGTAGAAGTCATTTGTGGACTTAGAGCAAACTAACCATTTGGAGAACCTCCCCTGGAAAATTCTGACTCTGATTGTGTTCTATTTCCATTGCAGAGCTCAGAGGATGAGTCGAAATGGGTAGAAGAACTGATGAAGATGCACACAGCTCGGGTGCGGGACATTGAACATCTCACCAGTCTGGATTTCTTCAGAAAGACCAGCCGCAGCTACCCAGAAATTCTGGCACTCAAGACATACCTGCATACATATGAGAGCGAGATTTAACTTTCTGATCATCTTCAGTGCCGTCTTATCAACTGGTGTATATTTTTATATTGTTTTTGTATTTATTAAACCAGGACATTAAAAAATATTAGTATTTTAATCCTGTACCAAATCTGACATATTATGCCTGAATAACTCCACTGTTTTTCTCTAATGCTTGATTTAGGTAGTCTTGTGTTCTGAGTAGAGCTTGTAATAAATACTGCAGCTTGAGTTTTTAGTGGAAGCTTCTAAATGGTGCTGCAGATTTGATATTTGCATTGAGGAAATATTAATTTTCCAATGCACAGTTGCCACATTTAGTCCTGTACTGTATCGAAACACTGATTTTGTAAAGTTGCATTCATTTGCTGTTAACTATGACAAACGTATTTAAGCCTTATAAACCAATCTTAAACATAATAAATCACACATTCAGTTTTTTTCTGGTTTTATTTGGATTTTATTTCACGTATAAATTAGAGGGTTTGCTTCAGGTATATTCATGCATGTAAGGAACACTTTTTTTTTTTTTTTGTACTGAGCCCTCTTCCTAGTTGCTTCCATACTATTTAACTCTAGTGGCCTGGATGAGATGGTTTAGGTACATATCTGTGGGAAATCAGAAGGGCAAAGGGGAAGGGGAACCAGAACGCACTCTCCCTGCACATCTCTTTTAAAAGAATAGTCTCTTGATCAAGTTGCTTCAAAACTCTAAGTATTAGATTAAACTTTAACTGCATTAAACATATATTCTGTACAAGGCGTCAACCTAATAACTATGGAGGATATATAGAGAAATAAGACAGTCAATGAGATATAGACATAAGAGAATATGGACAGACTCGCTTGCAGCTCTGATTCCGGTGGGGCAAAGGCAATATTTGTAACCTAAACATTTGTAGCCCTGTAATATGCTGAGATGAAAAAAATAAAACATAATAAAAGGAAAAAGAAAGGACAAAATGCTGGAAAAAAAGAATAATAAATGCCAACTGAAAAGTTTTACTAACAATACAATATGACAGAAGGGTCTCAGTGGTGTGTGAGGTGATTTCAGATGGACATAGTTATGGCTTTCAATACTAATGATGCATGGAGTAAGGAAGTCATTCAAAAATTTTCACTCCTGATTATATTATAGAGAAAGACTAACATTAGTGTTGTCTTATCTAGAACAGTTGCTAATCTTCCCCTGGGGACCAGGGGGAGGAGAAAACAGAAGATAATAGCATATTATTTTCATTCTAACTTTTACAATTGCTCCATTTTATAGTCAGTAAAATGGGTTTTTAATTTCTATAAAATTTCCTTTTAAAATACATTCATTTAAGAAAGAAGACATTATGTCAAATAAAAAATACTTTTACATCAAAAGTACAACAGATGGTACCAGAGATATATGAAAAATCATGAAGGTGGTAAGAGAAAGACTGATGTTTGGGGAATACAGCTATAGGAATACATTGGAAGAATGTCACTACCAGAGTAATACTAGTGATAGTTGCATTTATTGAGACCTTATTATATTCCAGGCATGTCTCTATCACTACATATGGCTTGTCTGAATGCTGAAAAATGGGAAGCTCAGGAAAGATTTTATGGAAGGGGGAAGAATGGAGATATGAATGGGGAAGATTTTGGACTGGGAGTTTGGGATAGAGTGCAAGTACAGCATAAGTGAATTAGACTATGGCTCATTATTCATTAAAAATTCCATAATAATTTATTGAGCATCTACTAAATGCCAGTACTTACACAGGTTAAGCAGCCCAAAGTCGTAAAGCTGGAATCCAAAGTGCTCCAAAATATAAAACTTTTGAGCACAGACATGATGCTCTAAGGAAATGCTCATTGTAGCATTTCAGCTTTTTAGATTTGGAATGCTCAACCCAGATATAATACAAATATTCCCAAATTAGAAAAAAACCAAAATCTGAAACACTTCTGGTCTCAAGAATTTTGGGTAAGGGACACTCAATCTGAAACACATTCAAATTGTTGCATGTGTCAACAGTTCATTCCTTTTTAATTGCTGGGTAGTATTACCTTGTATAGATATACCAATGTTTGCTTATTTATCTCTTGATGGACATTTGGGTTATTTTCAGTTTTTAGCCATTGCAACCAAATAGCTGCTAGGGTAAAACAGTGTATAAAATAAACATGGTTCCTGATGTCATAGAATTTACACTTTAAGAAGAGAAAGAGAACCTTTTAAACATCTCAAAAGCTCAGTTAAGATATGTGCTGTGAAAGCATTAAACAGGTGGAGATTGACAACGGGGAGGAGGAAGGGAAGGGTCTCATATATGACATTACAGCCAAGACCTGGGGAATGAAAAGAGGTGGACTTGAGAGGAATGGGGACAAGAAGGAAGTGCATGGCCAAATACTGGGAGTAGAAAAGATTTTAGGATGTATGAAGATCTGAAAGAATACAGTTGTGCCTGGACACAGTGGTGAGGCAGGTGGGGACCAGGTCAGGTCCCACTGAGGTCCAATAAGCCCCATTGAGGCATTTTTATTCCATTCTAAGTGCAATGGGAAATAATCGAAAAGTTGCATGCAGGCATGTGACAGGATCTGATTTAAGATTTCAGTATATTCACCTGGATATGTAATCTTTACACACTATGCTGTAGATATAATGCCACATAAAAATACATCTGATAAGAGAGGGTGTACTAAGTGCTATAATTGTTTCCCAGTAGTCTATAGCATTACAAGGGAGAAAGGTTACATCTATTTTTTTAAAAAAAATATATTTGCAAGCTCTTTGCTAGATTTCTATATCACCTCAGATTGAACTCTTCTCCAAATAGGTATACTCAAGGCTCCTGCGGAGACCAGTTGCAAATTTAGTTGAGTACCGCTGCCCTATATTTGTACTTAGCTCAAGTATTTCTTTCTTATAAATAAACTCCATGTCCAGAGAGAACATCAACCGCTGTTTATGAATTTGATGAGAACATGAACTTCAGGTGAGTGGCTTTGCCGATAAACACATGTCATTAGTTGTGGGGTTATTTATAAAAGTCCCTGAATGGACAGGGACTCTATTAAAATGAGGTCTAGAAGACTATTTTAAGTCTGGATATATATACATATTTTTTTTTTTTATTGAGACCTTGCTCCATTCATGCTTTCATTGAGCAAGTTGCAAACCACTTGCTAGCATGGTGGTCCTGTTCCAGTGGATTGATTCAGACACTGCCTCTTCAAAATGAACTCATTGTAATGGAGTAAACCAGGAAAGCAGCCACATAGTTTCCCAAGGGTGAAAACATTCTGAATTGTTTATAAGAGGGTTGATTTTTTTTTTTTAAATCTTTGAACAAAAGCAGTGTTTGGTGCCAACTGGGTTTGCATAACTCTGCCCAAAGGCCCCAGCTCCCAGCTTCCTGTGCACATTATTTCTTGTGGTGGCTGGGGAGAGGGTGGCTGCAGATGAGTCCAGATGATTCCTCCTGTTTGTATTCCTCTTGCTTCAGCTGTCCTCCCTCACTATCTCTCTGCTGAGTCAGGGCCAGACTGCTGTGTGGGTGGGAAGTGGTAAAGGCAATGGGAATTCTCCCATGGCTTTGAGGAGAGGGAGTGCATGGGACAGTGAAGAGCAAGAAGGTTCAGATGTTCAAGTTTGTAGATTGGGGTAAAGAGAACCCTGCTGGAGGCCCAGCCTCTGGTAGTATTGCTTCCTGTTTGGGATGCATTTCTAGGAAGTGCGTGCCCATGAACCCTCTTGGCAGGGATGTCCAGGTCTGGCTGGAATGTAATAGAAGTGGAAAAGATGAGCCTTGGCTGCTGCTGCTTCTTCCTTTAAAAAAAAAAAAAAACAAACAGCTTTATTGAGATAAAACTGGCATAAATAAATGGCACATACTTAAAGTATTCGACTTGATCAATTTTGACATATATAAACACCCGTATCACAATTCCCCACAATCAAGATAGTGAACATATCCATGACACCCTAAAGTCTCCTCATGTCCCTTAGTCACCTCTTTCTCACACCAACCTCATACTATCCCCCTCGCCTAATCCACAAGCCATGATTTTCTTTCTTTCATTGTAGATTATTAGTTGGCATTTTATAGAGTTTCATCCTAATAGAATACTACAGTATGTAATTCTTGTCTGGCTTCTTTCCCTCAGCATGCGGGAGGGAAATTATTCTGAGACTCATTCAAATTGTTGCATGTGTCAACACTTCATTCATTCTTAATTGCTGGGTAGTATTACCTTGTATAGATCTACCAAGTTTGTTTATTTATCTCTTCATGGACATTTGAGTTATTTTCAGTTTCTAGCCATTGCAACCAAAAAAGCTGCTAGGAACATGCACATACGTATGCTTTCTTGTGTGGACATATGCTTTCATTTCTCTTTGGTAAATACCTAGGTGTGGGGTGGCTTGATCATGTAGTAGGTAGGTATATATTCAACTTTTTAAGTAGCTGCCAAACTGTTTTCCAAAGTCACCATTGTATTTTGCATTCCCACTAGTGGCACATGAGTGTTCCACTACCTTTACGTCCTTGTCAACTCTTGCTATGGTAGCCTTAACTTTAGCTATCCTAATAGATGAGTATGGTACCTTACTGTGATGTTTATTTGCATTTCCCTAATGACTACTGATGTTAATCATCTTTTCTTATGATTATTTGCGACCTATATATTTTATTTATGAAGTTATCTGTTCAAATACTTTGCTCACTTAAAAACATGAGTTATTTTTTCCTTATGATTGAGTCTTAGGAGGTCTTTACATATTCATTCTAGATTCAAGTACCTAGATATATTTTGCAAAGATTTTCTTTCAGTCTGAGACTTGTCTTTTCATTCTCTACAGTATATTTTGAAGATTAGAGCTTTAAACAATTTTGATGAAGTCCAATTTACCAATTTGTTATTTTACAGGTTATAAATTCAGTGCAGTATCTAAGAAATCTTTACCTAACTCTAGGTCACAAAATTTTTCTCCTTTGTTTTATTCTAGGTGTCTTAAACTTTCAGGTTTTACCTTTAAGTTTATGATTCATCTTGTGTTAATTTTGTATGTGGTATAAAGTATGCATGCAAACTCTTTTTTAAATTATTTTTTGCACATGAATATCCATTTTTTTTCAGCACAATTTTAAGAAAAGGCCATCCTTTCTCCACTGTATTTTTCTCCATATTTGTCTTAAATCAGTTGTGTGGGTTTATTTCTGGGTTCTTAATTCTGTTCAATTGATCTATTTGCCTTATTTTACACCAATATACTACTATTTTAATTACTACAACTTTATAAAAATTTTTAAAGTCAGGTAGCGTTAGCCCTTTAACTTTATTCTTTTTCAGTAATTCGGTCTATTGTAGATCCTTTCATTTCCATATGAATTTTAGAACCAGCTTATCAATTTTTAGAAAAATGCCTAAGATTTTGATCAGAATTTTGTTGG